ACACTAATAACTACCTCTTGTTGTTATCTATTACTATCAGCACGATCATTATTTGTAATCATTACAACATATATAATTACCATCATTAATCATCTCTATCAACCGCAACCACAACCTCAACCACAACCCTCACTTCATAATCATATCCTTTAATTTTTATAGAGTGCTTCATCAAACAAACAATTGTTTAATTCAACACCAAATAAACTTTTTAAAAAATTCTCTAACATTTTCTTGATATAATTATTAAATTACTCTTATTTTATTTTTAACTCATAGAAATGGTAGATGCACCTACACTACTATATCCTTTAAACAAGTTGCTTTAAAGATAATAGAAGTGCCTTTCTTCTGTTTAATCCATGTACTGAATTATATTCTTTGTCTTCCACTTTTCAAAAAAATAATAATTAATCAACAAATATATATCCCTAACTATATTATAAAAACATTTTTCCAAACGTGTAATGAGAGTTTCTTTCTAACAACAAACAAAGGTACAAAACCAAAAAAATGTGTTTGACAAAAAAATAATCAAAAAAGCATCTCCAACTACTCCAATCATTAGTATCATAAATTATTAACTTTTTTTTTTAGGGATTATAACTTTTGCAGCTATCGATTATTGATAAATTTTAATTTTTATAATATTTGGAAAAGTATATTTAATCTTTTAATTAATTGAAATATGTAGTTTTGATTTTCTTCATGTGGAAATATGTTATATTTGGAATAATTAGAATTATATTATTGTCAAATATAGAGTGATAATATGAATTTAAGTATTTAATAATTGACTATCATGGTAAATTTGTGGATATACACAAGTATGGGGATCAGAAGTGCATGTTTCAATAATTAATTGTAGGTTAAGTGTACTTAATTAGATAGATATCACAATAACTATAATTAAAATTAATATTCTATCATAAATTGGTCCAAAATTAATATAATCTCCTTAACCAATAAAAAAAAAAAAAATACAACCATTGAAAAACCAAATATTGTATTAAAAAATTCTTCTATATACACAACAATACATATGTGGGGGTTGCAAATAAAGTAGGTTCATCCATTAAAGATTTATTTTACTTCACATTGACTAACTTATTATAGATAGACAACTTATAGCTAGCCCACCAGTGCTGACAAAAGTGTAAAAGTTTATAAATTGAGACAAACATGTAATTTAATCAAGATACCTCAAACCTAATTTATAAAGAAATAAAAAAAAGTGCATATTTATTTGGGAATATATATTTATTATGGAGATATATAACTTTACACTTTCTTAACTACAAGAATAATAATATACATAGTAAGATCTGAAGAAAATAGAGTGTATATATATTTACCTAACTTTAGAAGTAAGCTAATTATATGGTTTCTGAAAGAATTCCGACTTAAAACACAAACAACCTAGAAAAAAAAACTCACACTTCCTCAAATAATTATTTAAAAAAAATTGTTATCTATAAGTTCAACTTTTCACTTACTTAGTACTCATTGAAGTACATTTTTTGTTATCATAGAAAAATTCTCCTTGCACTTTTATAATATTCTACTTACTTTGCTTGGAATGTACATGTTAGAATATAATTAATACGAGGATTATTGAGTGTTATATATATATATATATATATATTCAAGACTTATTCTAATTCTAATTCTAATGTAGCATACGTAGTATGAATGATGAATTTAGACGTTATGAGTTTTGAGTTGAAAAAGTGAATTTTGAAATGTATATTTTAACTTTGTTTATTTTGGAGACATATGTTTCGATAGTTATTACCATCTCTTAATTTCCTAGGTTTGGTCGCACCCCAATTAATTTTTCGACTAGATCACCCTAAGAACAGTATGTGGGGCTCGGGTCTCCCACAACAAAAATAAATACCAAATAACTCTGTTTATTAAGATTTAAAAAAATGAAAAAAAAATTATCTGATAATAATAACGTTGTTATATAAAGGTTTGACGATATTAATAGTTGCTATTGGAGAATATCATATCTAAGTTACATGCTAAGCTAGCTAAAGTAGCTAAATGTCAATTATTCACCATCATTATATTTTTTCACAACTTGCAATTCCTTAATTCTATTTTTCCTTTAAAATATTGTCAGTAAAAGCACTCTTGTTCTTCAAGATTAAATTAAAGTGTATATATATATAGCTTCTCTGAAACTCAAACTTACAAAGTGAAATAATAGTACTTTCTACCATAATTTATATGACATAATTTAAATTTAACTGTCAAATTTTTTATTGTGATTTTGTATTTGGACATACTATCATGATCAAAGACGAACCTAGGATTTGAAGACTTTTGGTGCAATAATCTAAATTTAAAATAAAAATAACAAAATGTGGCTTTAGTTGGATTCAAACTCTAGTCTCACGGATGGTATCTTTGGCTTGTATCAGTGGCACGAGACGCTCCTATGCTCCTCATGGGTACACAATTAATTATATCCTGATTTTTGCCAATTTTTCAAGATAGATATACATATATACACATGATTTTTTCAAAAGTTAATGGATGCACGTGCACCCTTAACTATGTGTGGGTCCGCATCTGATCATTACTATAAAAAATATTATTTTTCTATTAAAATTTTCCACTGAAAAATGACGAGTGATTATTCCTACATATATTTTGACTGAATCAGTTAAAAAAATATTATCACACGAAAAAAAATTAAAAAGCTTCTCAATATTATAACGAGAATCCGTTTCCCACCATGCATTTTCTAGTACGCTAGATAACACAATTTTTCTCAATTATTCGCGGCAACAAAAAATCTCTATTTCTAGCCATGAATCGTTAAGATTTTGAAAAATAATTACACAACTACATAAAAAATACGATAAATCACAAATTTATCAATTTAAAATATTTAAATTCATACTAATAAATTGCAATCAATTTTTTTCGTATTTAACTTTTGAAATTCGAACTATGTCATTTTAATTGGATCATATGAAATATGTGGTTGATTTTTTAAAAAAAAATAAATTGACAGATCATCATCCATTTTCGTATCACAAAAAAAGTAGGAGCCCAATATTTTTCTTTGTATATAAAAACAAGGAACGTGGAAGACAAAACATTAAGATTGTGACCCCAAAAACAGCTGTAGTACGTTATATATAAGGAATCAACGACTCATGATATGTCAAATAGTGACATACGTAAACGGATTGAGAATTTAAAGTTTATGAGTTTTGAATAAAATTTTAATAATTAATTTGGATCAAAACTATTATTTGATAAAATTTGTAATCTATTTTCTAGCTCCGGCACTGATGAGGTGCGTAATTTTGCACAAGGAGTGTTAGTATAACTATGTAATATAACATCCCGCTTACGACATTTTCGGCAAAAATTATTAGTTTTAACTTAAATTTTATATTTATTTTTGAAAAATAAATAAATTAATATTTATGAGTTTTAAATTTAGATAAAGCTTACTTTAAAAGACTCGAACCTAGAATTTAGAAATTTCAAATTTTGATCACGGATAAGACAAGTTCATTGATTTTTACTTCTTATTTGAAGTTAATACCCTATTATGTATTTGTCAATATATTAAGAAAATAATTTATAGTTTTACGAATATTTATAATTTGTTAATAACAAGTTTTAAAAGACTTTCTTTCATATATTCGATGTCTGATCAGTGATCAAGTAGTATCAAATAAATTGAGATATTGAAATATCTTTTTATATTTGGAGACCATTTATAACTATACAAATATTTATAATTTATTTATATCTTTTGTTTGTCCTAAATTTTGTGCCCAACTAAATACCATCCCCACAACAGATGGAAGTAATATTTAGAATAAAAAAATTATGATGAAGCGATAAATATTTCTTCATTTTTAATTAGAAGTCTCGAGTTCGAGTTATATTGAGTATAAATTAAGAAATATTTTACTCTCAATATAAGACTACTTAGTATAAATTTAATTAAGCCTCAATACAAATACCGATTATCGAGTGAGAAGAAAATACATATGTATAGTGAAACTTTTGGGAGATGAGACCCCTACACCATGTAGAAGAGTAATGTCTACCACATCTAATATGTACAGCTAGATCCTAAAATTTAGCATAATGTTTTATCTTCTTTTTTTTTCAACAATTGGATGAAGTGGCCTACTCCACTTAATTAATTAGTTTTTTGCTATTTATGACTTATGATGTTGGTAGATGAGTAGTTTTTTTGGGACCCCTCAACCCAATTTCAAAATATATTTAGACAGTTTAATGTATAAAGTATTTTATATTTACGTAGAGTTTGGAGAAAAGTCGTAAGTCCGTAATTAATTTTTAGGTGAGTAAGTAGAATAAATATTTTTTCTTGTGGTAATTAAAAAGGCTAACAAGGGTCATCTTGATTTATAGATTATAAATTTGAGTCATGAAATCAATAACTAACGCTTGTGTCAGAATAATCGACCTATATTACACCTCATAAATGTGAAATATTTTATGTATCAGATTGTTTCTTTTTATTTTATTTTAAAAAAAATTGCCAACATGCAGCATTTATCCATGTTACTATCTAGGTCCCCTAAGAGCAAAAAAAAGGACAAAACTTCAAGATGAATATTAATACCAGATAGAAAAAGATGAAGGCTGGAATTTTTTACATAAAAATTAAATAAGAATAAATGTACACTTTAAAGAATGCAACAATGCAACAACAATATACATTGAAGAAACAAGAAGTAATTAACCATAATTAGTCTTAATTTTCCCTCTATTGTGAGAACATCCATTTTAACATTCATGTTAATTAATCAAAATCAAATTAACAAATCTAATAACCAAAAAAAAAAAAAAAAACTCACTAATTACTTGGTGAATTCAGGAGATTCAACTGAACTGATTACTTTTGATCATTCAGAACTACTTATACATACGCAAGAAAAAAAATTCAAAATGTATGCATATATATATAAAATTAATAAGATGATTTCATTCTGAATCAATCAACATGAATAAAACTCGACAAGTTCATCCATCGACTCGGGTTGTGGATCAGCATTTTGAAGCATCCATAGCAAATGTTCAAATAAAACAACTTCACATCCAACACTAACATATTCCTCCGAATCACTTGTCCTCCTTTCGATAAGTTCTCGAAAAAGAGGGTGATCGATAACATCGGAGGTAACTAGGTACCTACGTCTCGATTTTCCAACGTAGACGGGGTGTAAATTGTTGTTGTTGTTGTTGTTGTTATCGTCTTCGTATGAATTATATGCATTGTTTTCCAACATGTTTGTGTTGTTGATGCTATTGACACGACCAAGTTTGAAAGATTGCATTTTTTTCAAGACTGATTTGATTTTTGTGAGCTTGCCTCCTTTGGTCATGACTATGAGAAAATAGAAAGGGGTTTTGTATTTTTTTTAAAATTGAATATGAAAGAGAGTTGGTGTTTATGAGAAAGGAGGAGGAAGGTTCATATATAAAGGAAGTTTAAAGACTTTGGGACAACATTGAATTGCCTATGTGGGGTTTTTAACTTATTTTAAGTGGACCCCGAGTCTGAAATAGTCAGATTAGTCAGTTTTGAATATTATATGAGTCTGAATTAGTTGGATCCATAAGTTTTGAATATCATACGAGTTTGAATTAGTCGAATCAGTCAGTTTTGAATATCATATCATGAGTTTAAATTAGTTAGATTAGTGAATTTCGAATATCATTAGATTATAGTTAAAAAATATTAACTTTTTCTATTATACTTTATTGTGTGCATGTAATTTACACTAGACCAAAAAACTTGTGAAAGTCAAAGGCAGATGCCGCTTTTTTCGCTATGGGATCAGTTGAATTCAAGGGTAAATATAATATATCAGTATCGGGTTTATATGAGTTCAACACTTTTGATGCGCAACATAAACTTACGTCGAAAGATAGATCTACTAAAATTTCAATAAATACTAAATATGAACTCATAACTTAAAAAATATAACATGTTCAACGGTAAGAACCTTAAATATTGAATCCATAAAATTTGAAGATCCGCCACAAGCTGAATCCATAATAATTTTTTTACAGAGAGTATAGATAAATATGTACAAATCTATGAAAGAATATTAATAAATATTATATTTGAATCCATAATTTTAATAATACTATGTGTTCATTGCTGAGAATCTTAAAATTGAATGCATGAAGCTTAAATTTTGAATTTTCACTACAAATTGTTTCAGTAAAGGTAAAATAAAAGAATTGAAGCTAAAAATATAAAAAGGTATAATGTTCTTTATAGATTATATTATTAAACAAGATGATGTGTCATACAAAATGGAATTGATATAAAAAAAATTCTTAAAAAAATAGATTGAATTGCTTTTAACACTTGGAGGGGGGCCTTGCTAGTGTTTACAATTGGTGCCAAGATTTGTGGCAGGAAAATTAAAAACCAGCTGTGGCTTTGGACCCTTTTTAGGGACCCAATGAATAGGCAATGGAGTCCTTGGACACCTTGATGTTGACTCATCATATCTTGAACTTGAAGAAATGTTTTAAGGATTCGATTATTTGACAATTTAAGTGGTACGTGAATCATTTTTCATTATTTGACTGAGTATGAAATTAAAAAAAAAAGAATTGATTTTCAAATAAGTTAAGAAATTTTAATAACAATAGTATATTTAGAGTAATCCACTAGTAGGTTATAAAATAGATAATGTGTACGCACATCTGAAAGATAGAAAACTTGTTTTTATAGACTCTTGACAAATTCTAAAAGAAATATTGGCATTAAAAATGTGTTCTTAAAAGTAAAATAAAAAATTTAAAATTTATTTTTATTTTTTGTGATAAATAGACCAAAAAAAAGAAATTACCTTTTTATTACAAAATACTGATTATATAAGTTTAGAGTAGTTAATAAAAATTAAAAGAATTCAATTTCTACCTCGTAATTCCCTCTTCAATTTTTCTTTCTCCTCTCCTCCGTGATAAAAAATAAAATAAAATAAAATATTGAAGATTCATGAAATTATCAAAATTAAAAAAATTGTCATATTTTATTAATATATCTAGGGCATATCAACTAAAATGTTTCCAAATATTTTTTTATATTTTTACGTAATTTTTGGACAAGGGGGTAAAGTTGTTAAAAGCGCCACGTACATCTAACAACTAATTAAATTCTAAATTAATCAAGAATTTAATAATTAAGTATTACTACTAATTATTAGTAAGAATTCTTTTATTCAAACTAGAAGTTCAAGTATTTTATTTTACTTTTGTTTCCATATCTTCTATCTCTGTTTTAAAGTCCAATTAATTTAACTTCAAGTTGAAGAGTCTCGTTATAAGAGCGTAATAATTTTCTATCAAAAACGACTCTGTATCCCGAACTGAGACTGCAAATCTTTCCTCGAATTTTGGTGGTTTGGGACACTTGTCCACCATAATATTTTCTTGTTGTTAATGACTATATGCAATGTTTAAGAATTTCAAGGCCAACAACCTATTGTTTGTTTATAATTTTTCTTGTTTTTTTCAATTTTTAGCTTACCTACCAAATTAAAATTAAAGTTGTTTTTGTCTCAGAAAAAGCTATGAAACCGCAGAAATATGTGCCTCAAATTTTAATTTTAATTTTAATATAGTATTGTTTGAATTAATTTGGGTGTATTTCAATTATTTTATCGATTCGTTAGCTTATACTTAAACTATTTTATCAGATACATATTATATTTATCATCAACAAATATATTCAATACCTTTATCTACTAAGATATATAAAAAAAAAGAGGTAAATATCGATAGTTAGGTTCATACAAGGGAATTCAATTGAATCACGTTTGGAAATTATATTGTGTTGGAATGGGGTAAAATGTTGTTTTTTTTTTTTGTTTAATCTCTTTAACATGACCAAAAATCTAGTGTAGTATTAGCAAAAGGGGTTCGAAAATTATTTTAGATCATAAGTTCAAATCGAGGTGTAACAATTTGTCTTTTACTCTTTTTATATGAAATTCTGACTTTGCTAATATACATGGTGTAATATTTTATTTTTATTGAAATTTAAATTATGGTCTTCTATTATGTATGCTCATTTTATTGACTCCTATATTACATATTTATTTATTTTCAATTTTTTTGTTTAGAATCTGATATTTGTATTGAGACTAAATTTAAATTTGTACATTATAGAATTCATTTCTGAAGGCGGTGTTTAGGTGCATGCATTTTGCATCCTGATTTCCAATTGATTTCTTTTTTAAGTAGATTTGTTGCATGAAGACAATTTAGTAGAGGTGATAAAGACCTAGATTCTTTTATTTGTTTTTTTGTTGAGAGAATAATCAACTCTCATTAATTAATTAAAATAATCATAGGAATAATTAGATCCTCATCTAATTAATTAATTAATCAATCAAAGAAATTATATTGAACTTGTAAACAAATACTAACTCCTTTTAATTTATTATATAAAAGTAAAGTCGTATATGAGTTCTTCTAATATTAAGTCGTTATATCATCATATCTAAGAGTTTTTTATACTTCAAAATATTGGTAAATTCTACATTTAGTTCCTATGATTTTGATTAAACATATTAAACCCTCTATTAGTCGACTTGTTCGGTTTTAAATTAATTTCTTACTCATAAATATTCACAAATTTACTAATTATAATTATATATTAACCTTTCATGTCGCTATTTAATTACTCATATCAGCTTATCTTGATCGTTACTTCGTATTTATCGATAACATGTATAATTCTATAAATAGTCAAATATGACATATGTTTTAAATGAAGGGACCAAAAACATATTTTAACTAATTGAAAGTTAAATATACCTAGTCATATACGATATATATAATAAGGATCAAAAGAGGAATTTACCAATAATTTAGGGACCAAAGTGTTATCATCCCAAAAACAAGAAGGAGAAAAGACGAGATGATCAAGAGTTTTAAAAAAATACTTTTTTTATTTTCATTTATGTGATGTTGTTTAACTTGATACATCATTAATTAAGAAAGGAAGATTGATATTTAAAATTTGTAGTCTAAAATAAGTCATATATATATCTATGTACGTGGCTATAAATTTTCTCATTAAAGGTAAAATTAATATTTTTAAAGTTAAATTGTTACTAAATATAGAAATGTATCATTATTTTTAAAACTAACTAAGATGGAAAGTGTGTCACATAAATTGGGACAACGGAAGTAGTGATCATGGAAGGTTAATTTATTTTCATCTTTGTGCAATGTATATATGACTTTTTTAGGAATAAAGAAAGTTATATATGAAAAACACCCCATAGTCCATATTATATTATATTTCCGTTAAGTTCTTAATGTGATTCATTGAATTAGTTCAATGTAAAGAGATTCATGTAGAGTGAAGAACACTATAATTATTGAAAATCAAAGCAAAGTTAAGTTTTAGGATAAGAACAAAAAAGAAGTGATGAATACTTGTAGGTAATAGGTTAGATGAACTTAAACATGATAAATATTGTTAATCTTAATATAATAAAATCCCATTTTCAAGATTGATCTCTTGATTTATAAGGTTCCTTTTAATATAGTAAAAATATTTGTTTTGCTTATCTTAACTTCTAGAAATTTGAACATTTAATTCATAATTTTTGTTAAGGTATAGTACATTTGGTCCTTGCATATTATAATTTGTAAATTTTAATTTTAGTTCTTGTGATTTTTTTACTATACATATTTAACCGTCAATTACGTATTTGAAATATATCTTTTTGATTCCCTTGCTTATGAATATTTTACAAATTTTCAGAATTATTAACTGCTTCACAATGTAATTATCCTTGTGTTATGTTAATTAAGTTTTATTATTGCTTCATATTTGAGTTAACAAATAATAACACGGATGAGCCTTTCCTCAAATGAAAATGACACAGATAAGTCAAACTTTTAACGGACGTCATAAATGAGTTTTTTCTCAAAATTTGATGACATATTTGAGTCGTTTCCCTTTTATTAATAACTAAGAGACCAAAAGTACTATCTCCCTAAATAAAAGAAGTCAATCTGACGCACTAAGCTTGCTACACGCAGTAAACCACATTAAGTCTTTATGTACACGATGCTATCTTTACAGCTTGAATTCATGACCTTCTGATCACGTAACAATAATTATAAAAGGTATTTCATTCATGTCGTAAATATAAAATTATTGAAGGATTCTCATTTTCCCTCCAAATAACTTTTGTTGAATTGTTGATATTTTATGTTCTTTTTTTATATTTTTACTTTTAGAAGGGTCCTCCAGAGCATATGCATTATATTATTGATGAAATGTATAAATTCAGAATCTGTCCAATGTGAGGCTCTGCCATTGATAGTTTTTAATAATATTGAATAAAGAAATAAAATACCAAAAAGGAAGAAAAAAAAA